ACTTTTACCTGCCATGACTGAGAAGATGGGAGGTCTTCCTACAGGTTCACTGCCTGAGATTCAAAAAGCCTGGCTCTTTTCTGGGATGGATTTTATTAGGCCCAATCATGGAAACTTTGCCAACTCCAATGCCCATCCTACCTTTGGTCAACCAAAGACAGAAAGAAGCAAGAACAGAAACAAAAACCCTGACAGAACCCAGTTCTACTTCCCAAACCAATCTGAAGCCTACATTTAAGAAGGCCTGGCCAGTTCAGAGGAGCCTGTCCATGTTTCACAAAGGCAGAATAGAAGGAAGTGTATTCACAGGGGAAACAATCAATAGCCATCCATCCAAGGTTTGCTGTGGGAGTGTTAACATCCCAGGTGCTGTGGGTGGCGCTGTTGAGCCCCATCAAAATATCAGAGGTTCGTCACATAGAGAGATTGAATTACAAAGCAGAAAAGATGATCCAATAGGGAGCCTTACCGAGTGAGTCCAAGATCGCACGATTCTCCTCCATGACTTCCTTATGGAGAGCTCTCTGGTCAGGATCCAGCAATGCCCACTCCTCATCTGTGATATAGACAGCTACATCTTCAAAGCACACTGAACCCTAACAGAAAAAGAAAAAGGTTGTCCTCTTAGACCTAATAAAAGTGATCTGTTACACTTTACTCTGTTGTTTTCTGCCTCTTAATTGCTGTTCTGTTTTAATGGGTTTGTTTTGCTGCACATTTTGATTATGGGTGCATATTTTAATGTCTTAATATCTTCCATTCCTGGGTAAGGTGATTGAGAGAGCGGTTGCTGAACAGCTTGGCAGGTTTCTGGAAGAAACATCGGCTCTGGATCCATTCCAGTCCGGCTTCCGTGCTGGTCATGGGACCGAGACGGCTCTGGTCGCCCTAACAGATGATCTCTGCAGGCAGCTGGATCGAGGCGGGTTGGGGCTGCTGATTCTTCTAGACCTGTCAGCAGCCTTCGACATGGTCGATCACGAACTCCTGGACCACCGCATTGCCGACGTGGGGATCCAGGGTACAGTCCTTCAATGGCTGCGCTCGTTTCTCTCTGTTCGGGGACAGAGGGTGGCGCTTGGGGGGAACTGTCATCGCATCACTCCTTGGTGTGTGGAGTGCCTCAGGGTGCAATACTCTCCCCGATGCTTTTCTGTGGGAGAATCAGAACCTACAGGGTTAAGAGGTTCTGTGTGTGACGTCTTGCATCATGAGGCGTGGTCACAGACACTTACGGGAGTGGTTTGCTCTGAGTAAGTCAGTCTGCCTCTGGTACGCTATGCGAGAGGAGGAGGATGGGCGAGGTTTCGCCAGGATTTGATTTATGCTGTTATTCTACTTGATTAAAGGCTAAGAAGATAAGGAAAGCCTTGTGTCTGCTTTGAGTTATTACCTACAAGCTGCAATTTGCTTCTAACTGCTGCTATTGCTCTGCTACCGGCTGAAGAGGCAGAGGACTTTTGGAGCGGCACGGAGAGATAGCAGAGCTGCGCAATGGAAGTGTGCCGGACGCCATTTTCGACCTTTCGACCTTTTGGCCTCTCGGCCGGAACATCTTTATGTGCCCCCTCGCCCAGCTTGTCCGGAGTTTTGGGCTGGGTTGCCATCAGTATGCTGATGACACCCAACTCTATCTGTTGATGGATGGCCATCCTGACTCGGCCCCAGACACACTGACCAGATGTTTGGAAGCTATGGCTGGATGGTTACGTGGAAGCCGGTTGAAGTTGAATCCTTCGAAGACAGAGGTCCTCTGGCTGTGACGGGACGATATGGGATTGAGGGGGCAACTCCCATCTCTTGTGGGGGTGCAAATAGTGCCAGCACCGTCCGTTAAGAGTTTGGGTGTAATCTTCGATAGCTCCCTCTCCATGGAGGCGCAGATTGCAGCTATAACAAAGGTGGCATTTTTTCATCTCCACCAAGCTAAGCAGTTGGCTCCTTACCTCTCTCGCCCTGACCTAGCCACTGTGATCCACGCGACGGTCACCTCCAGACTGGATTATTGTAACTCACTCTATGTGGGGCCCTTGAGATTGACCCAGAAACTCTAGCGGGTGCAGAATGCCACAGCAAGACTCCTTACGGGGTCCTCGCTGCGGGATCACATTCACCCAGTGCTATACCAGCTGCACTGGCTCCCGGTGGAGTACAGGATCAGGTTTAAGGTGCTGGTTTTAACCTTTAAAACCCTATACGGCTTAGGACCCTCATACCTATGGGACCGCCTCTCCTGGTATGTCCCACAGAGGAACTTACATTCTTCAAACAAAAACATCTTGAAGGTCCCAGGCCACAGAGAGGTTAGGCTGGCCTCAACTAGAGCCAGGGCTTTTTCGGCTGTGGCTCCAATCTGGTGGAACGCTCTTTCACAAGAGACTAGGGCCCTGCGGGATTTGACATCTTTCCGCAGGGCCTGCAAGACAGAGCTGTTCCACCAGGCCTTTGGTCAGGGCGCAGCCTGACTCCCTCCTTTGGCAATCTTTACAGAACTTAAGCTTACGGTTGCCATCAATTTGATTTATATTAATTTTTATAATGAAATGTTTTTAGAATGTTGCACTATTTTATTGTTGTTAGCCGCCCTGAGCCCGGCTTTGGCTGGGGAGGGCAGGATATAAATAAAATTTACCGTATTTTGCGCCCCATAGGACGCTCCGGCCCATAGGACGCACCTAGGTTTTTTTGGGGGGGGGGAAATATAGGGGGGAAAATTATTTTTCCCCCAGGTGCAGGGCTGGAAGAACCAGGTCGGGGAACAGCGGGAAGGCGCGCTCTGCCTCCCCGCTGTCCCTCGAGCTTGTGGGGCTGGCGATGGGGAGAAGTGCGCTGATCCCGGGACTGCAGGCAGCTCTGCGCGGCCATCCAGAGCGGGGTGGGACATCGCGCCCCGCTTCCAATGGCCGCGCAGAGCTGCGCTGATCCCGGGACTGCAGGCAGCTCTGTGCGGCCATTGGGAGTGGGGCGGGACTTCGCGCCCAGCTCCCGGTGGCCGCGCAGAGCTGCGCTGAGCCCGGGACTGCAGGGAGCTCTGCACAACCCTCGGAGCTGGTCTCCCGAGGGTTGCGCAGAGCTTCCTGAAGCCTGGAGAGCGAGAGGGGTCGGTGCGCACCGACCCCTCTCGCTCTCCAGGCTTCAGCGAAAGCCTGCATTCGCCCCATAGGACGCACACACATTTCCCCTTCATTTTTGGAGGGGAAAAAGTGTGTCCTATAGGGCGAAAAATACAGTATTATTATTAAATTTATTATTAATGGAATCCTTTTATTGTTTATTTTAATGATGAACATAAAGAACCTGGTCTTCTCCAGATCATGGTTTTCCTGTTTGCCACATGGAAGGATCCCTTCTCTCCTCTCCCTGTTTTTGGTTCTGGGGGGGTGCAGGGAGAGAGAGACCTCCAGGTGCCCCCCAGCCAACTTCAAGGTCACATGGGGGCATGTGAGGAGAGGGGGGAAAGCCCCATTGTGTGAATGAGGACGTGAAGCCTGGCCACTGTTTGGTATAGTGCGCAATCTGCTTAGAAGTCTATGTCAGGGAACTGCCATCGGAACAGGGGCAGGAAATAGAGGGGCAGTTGTGTTAGAGGGAGCCTCCGAAGCAGTTCCTCCTCCGGTGATGAGGAAAGCCCCACCTCCAGTGGGGAAGAGGTGAAAGGACCAGAGGATGCTGGTGGGAGCCTGAACACTGCTCCTGGCCAAGCCGGCCAGGAGGGAAGCATGCCCCTTCTGTCACCCACCCTGCGCAGAAGTCTAAAGCGCAACGAGGGAAGGAAAAGGCTGGGCGTGACGAGGCTTTTATGCTGGGGAAGGTCCAGGAAACAAGCACTCCCAGATTCTGCCAGCTATTGAGGCAGACATGAGCTTTGGGGCTCTGCACTGTAAATAGTTTTGCACCTAAAAAAACCTGTAAAAGTCCTGCCTGGTTACTCGTGAGCAACCACCCGTGCCTTCTGACAGTCTATTTTAGCCTTCAATCTAGAAATAAAACCTCAATAGTTAATAAATAAAATTAGTGACCTTCAGAAGGTGAGGTGGCACTTCCTTGTTCTCAGCACATAAACCTCACTGAATGGTGTTTCATCGTTTGCACCCCGAGCAACTCTGGCTGCCCCAACCCGCTGCCTCACCCACTGTAGGTGGAGTTAACTCTTTATTAGAAGAAGCCTAATGAGCACAGGAACACTTCTTGTAGGTCTTGCCTCCATGAAGGTGTTTCAGGGGCTGAAGGTCCCTGCCTTCCCCCAACTGCCAAACTCCCCTCCTCCCCAGGGCTCTTCCCTTGCAATCTGAGACGGCTCCTCCCGCTTTTGGCTCTCCGAGTTGTGGGAGACAAGCAGGGAAGAGAGCTTGTCACAGGAGGGTAGGGAGACTCCCATGCCTCTACAGCAACCAGAGCCCTCTCTGCCTCTCTCCTCCCATCCCCTGCTTCCGCTTCTGCCTCTGTGTCTGGGCTGCTCTCTGCCACAGACTCCCCTGGGTCACTAGGCCCTGTTGCCTCTCCAGCTTCTGACACCTCCTCCTCCCAGTCTCCTTCCTTTTCTCATCATTATCCCCCACCCCACCCCTTCCCTGGCCCTGAGCCTTCGTTCCTTGGCGGTTCCTCCCACCATTCCTCTGTGTCCCCCAGTCCATGACATCCTCTCTCCCCACATGGCCCCTTCCTCCTACCTGCTCTGGGTCCACAGGGGCAGCTTCCCCTCCGCCACCAAGAAAAGATGGACAAGCAGGTCTTGCTGGCCTCGTTCCGTCTCCTGCGAGAGAAGAAGGTAAGTGGGGAGCCAAGAGCACATGCTTCACTCCGAAGGAAAACTACAGGTGCGCCTTCAAACAAGTAGGAGTTGCCACCTAAATATGGACGTTTGTACCCATTTGACATACTAGAGTGCAAAAATACACACACCCCGGGCTCTTGGTCCCTTGTGACCTCCCCCCAAAGATGAGAAGAATTCACGGATTAGCTTCAGAATTCACAAAAAGTGACCCAACAGAGAAAAAACTCCTTCCTCCTTACCCAGAGGCCTCTCTCTGGAGTCCAAGGGAGTCTTCTCTGCCTCAGAGGAATCTGGACCCATTTCTGCTAACGAATCCTTCCCCTGAAAGAGCAACAAGGATTCAAGAGAGAGTGGGGAAAAGGATTAGAAAAGGAGCAGCAGACACAAACAATTTACGGCTGTCAAATATCATTCCTTGGATGCTTTCCAAAAAAGGATGGGCAAATTAGTAGAGCATTGGGGGATACGCTGCCTCCTCTTTGGAGCCCCTTGGGAAGGGATCAGCAAACTTTGTCAGCAGGGGGCTGGCCCACTGTCCCTCCGAACTTGTGGCGGGCCAGACTATATTTTTTGGGGGGAAATGAACAAATTCCTATGCCCCACAAATAACCCAGAGATGCATTTTAAATAAAAGGACACATTCTACTCATGTAAAAACACGTCGATTCCCGGACCATCCATGGGCCAGACTGGGAAGGCGATTGGGCCAGATCTGGCCCCCGGGCCATAGTTTGCTAACACATGCCCTTGGAGTATCCAGAGGAAAGTCTCTCTCACCTGCTGCTCTGCCTGCTTCCTCTCCTCTGCCTGGCTCAGGAGGAAACCTTCGGCCAGGGCCACCGCCTGGGAAGTGGTCTCTGCTCCACATTCCCGCACCCAGATCTCCATCTCCGCTGGAAGGACAGCCAGGAACTGCTCCAAGATCACCAGGTCCAGCATCTCAGCTTTCGTGTGCCTTTCCGGCTTCAACCACTGATGGTCAAGATGGTAGAACTGGCTGCAAACCTCTCGGGGTCCTTTGGCCTCCTGGTAGCAGAACTGCCTGAGCTGCTGGCTCTGCACCTCTGAGCAAGGGGTGTCCTCCTCACCCAGTTCCTTCTTCACAGAGTTTTCCCAGAATTCCCCACTGCTCTCCGTTTCCATGGCATGACCTCTTCCTGCTTCAGGGCCAGCTGAGTCTTGCTCATCCATCTCTGTTCCCAGGAGATCGGAAGGAGTCCCTAGGTCTTCTGCCAAGTTCTGCCTGTCCTAATGAGAGGTGCCAGAGAATCCTGTAAAGCAAATGCATTCTTCTACTACCAGATTGATACACAGTCAGGAGAAGAGAAATGTTCCCTGGGCCAGCATGGATGAGTCTGAATCACAGCCCAGACGCGGAGTTCAAGCACCATATTCCCATATTCTGAAGACAGACCTCTGTCTTTGTTCTGAGGGCAACTCTCTCCCCCTTCAGAAGCATGGCTGCCTCCCACTGGGGGGCCTGGAGCCATCGGTAGCCCTCTGCTCCTCCCTGAATGGGCCTCATCCTCTTCTCAAGCCATCTCTTCCTCCTGCGGCAGGGAGTTCCATGGGTCTAACTGTTAAGTTGTGGGTGAACATATCAGACGACACAGCGATTCTTCAAACAGCTCTTGTTTATTCACAGGCCAGAACAGAACTGAGCTGAAGGGTTCAGTCAGCCTGCTTATATAGAGCTCCACTACAACGCAACGGTAACCACTTTCTGCAACTATCCAATCACTGAATATCACTTTCAATCCCTTATTTGCATATGTGGAACTGAGTGAAAACTATCTACAGTATCCCCCTGCTGGCCCAGGGTGAGAACTTCAGTACATAACACTAACTGCGCACTGCGAGATGGAAGGACTTGGAGGAGATGGAGGGAGATGGAGGCCAATTTTTATTTCTGCCTCCAGATGTTTCCATCTGGCTGCCACCTGGGCTAAGGAACGTGGCTGATTCCTCAATCCCATCAGGGTTCCTTTGCAGGCCCTTTTCTTCCTGACTCAGGGACCCCTCCCCAAAGGAGCAAGCAGCCTCTTGAATGTGAAGGAAGAAGAAGGAGAAGAAGAGGAGGAGGGGGAGTTTGGATTTGATATCCCGCTTTATCACTCCCCTTCAGGAGTCTCAAACCTGCTAACATTCTCCTTTCCCTTCCTCCCCCACAACAAACACTCTGTGAGGTGAGTGGGGCTGAGAGACTTCAGAGAAGTGTGACTGGCCCAAGGTCACCCAGCAGCTGCAGGTGGAGGAGCGGGGAAGCGAACCCGGTTCCCCAGATTACGAGTCTATTGCTCTTAACCACTACACCACACTGGCTCTTGCAGACCTCCTGCTACTTGCAGCCTCCCTGGCTTTGCAGAGAGGAGGGGGGGCAGAACCTCTTAGCCCTGGCTTGGGGATCCCCTTGCAGGAGCTGAGCAAAATCCCCACGGATCCCCCCCCTGCAGCCCTGGGACACCCCGCCCCACTTCTCCCCAATGCACCCTAGGGCAGAAAAGAGAGGAAACTCACCAGATGACAGAAGGGGCTACCTAGACAGCTCTTGCAGAGGAAATAAAAGTCACCCCCTTGCAAGGAGGAACCTTGGGAGGTGGGAGGGGCTTTTGCTCGTCGTCGTCCCCCCTTATTTCCTGTCCTCTCTAGGAATGCAGCTCAGTACCTTTTAACTCTTGCAAGGTGGAGCAAACCAAGCTCACATTCTCTCTCTCTCTCTCTCTCTCTCTCTCTCTCTCTCTCTCTCTCTCTCTGGAATCACATGCATTGCATACATCCAGGGGGGGTCTTTTTTGGGGCACCAGCGAGCAGGAGGAGGAGGTAGCCAGGGGGGTGCTGGGTGGGGCTCCGTCCTGGCCTGCAAGGGCTCCCCAGCCGACTCCGCCGCCCCCAAGGCAGGGCTGGGGACTCCCTCTGCCCTGCACCACGCGCGCGCCTCTGAGCACACGCAGAGCGCGCCTGCCTCGGAGCAGGAGGGAGCTCGGCCAGGGGATGCCTCGCAGCAGCAGCAGCCTCAGGCGCGCCCCCGCCCAGGTCGACGGAGGGCGCTGGGCTCGCCAAGCAGGAGGCGCGCGTGCCCGGCAAGACGGTCCTGCGCCGGGGAGCTCCAGAGAGGCTGGATCGGGGCCGAGCTTCGCGCGCTCCCCCGCGGCACCCCATCCTCTGGGAAAGTACCCTAGAGGGTCTTCTTTGGGGGACCCCCTGGACCGGCTCCTGAGCTCTCCCTTCCCTTGTAAACAGAAGCAGGAGAAGCACGAAAGGCCCGGAGGGGGAGGGGCACTGCAAGAAGCTCTCCGGACACCAGCCTGGCTTGACTTTGGCGTAAACTGCACCTTGAAAGGATTGGGACCCTCAAGCGAGAAATAAGGCAATGCGACCTTTACTCGGAGGTCGAGGGAGGCTCTCCCCCCGCCCCATTTCATTCAGCCTTGCTCTCTTATTTTTTCCTTCCTAATGAAGCCTTTTGCTTTTAGTGTTTGCTACTTTCCAAAACAAAGGAACTCTTCTTGTGACGCGTAGAACCTCTAGATAAATTTGTGGATAACCTTTAGTATCCCTGTGTAGAAACTTTAAATAATAATAATAATAATAATAATTTATTATTTATACCCCGCCCATCTGGCTGAGTTTCCCCAGCCACTCTGGGCGGCTCCCAATCAGTGTTAAGAACAGTACAGCGTTACATATTAAAAACTTCCCTGAACAGGGCTGCCTTAAGATGTCTTCTCTCAGTCACTAGTCTAGCTGCCGCATTCTGGATTAATTGCAGTTTCCGGGTCACCTTCAAAGGTAGCCCCACGTAGAGCGCATTGCAGTAGTCCAAGCGTGAGATAACCAGAGCATGCACCACTCTGGTGAGACAGTCCGCGGGCAGGTAGGGTCTTAGCCTGCGTACCAGGTGGAGCTGGTAGACAGCTGCCCTGGACACAGAGTTAACCTGTGCCTCCATGGACAGCTGTGAGTCCAAAATGACTCCCAGGCTGCGCACCTGGTCCTTCAGGGGCACAGTTACCCCATTCAAGACCAGGGAATCCCCCACACCAACCCGCTGCCTGTCCCCCAAAAACAGTACTTCTGTCTTGTAAGGATTCAACCTCAATCTGTTAGCCGCCATCCATCCTCCAACCGCCTCCAGGCACTCACACAGGACCTTCACCGCCTTCACTGGTTCTGATTTAAAGGAGAGGTAGAGCTGGGTGTCATCTGCATACTGATGAACACCCAGTCCAAACCCCCTAATGATCTCTCCCAGCGGCTTCATATAGATATTAAAAAGCATGGGGGAGAGGACAGAACCCTGAGGCACCCCACAAGTGAGAGCCCAGGGGTCTGAACACTCATCCCCCACCACCACTTTCTGGACACGGCCCAGGAGGAAGGAGCGGAACCACTGTATGACAGTGCCCCCAGCTCCCAGCCCCTCAAGACGGTCCAGAAGGATGTTATGGTCACTGGTGTCAAAGGCCGCTGAGAGATCCAGCAGAACTAGGAAACAGCTCTCACCTTTGTCCCTAGCCCGCCGGAGATCATCAACCAGTGCGACCAAGGCAGTTTCAGTCCCATGGTGAGGCCTGAATCCCGACTGGAAGGGATCCAAATGGTCCGTTTCCTCCAGGCGTGCTTGGAGTTGTTCAGCAACCACCCGCTCAATCACCTTGCCCAAGAATGGCAGATTTGAGACTGGGCGATAGTTGGCTAAATTGGCCGGGTCTAAAGATTTTTTTTAAGAAGTGGTTTAATGACCGCCTCTTTCAGCGGGTCTGGGAAGGCTCCCTCACAGAGGGAAGCATTCACCACCCCGCAGAGCCCATCGCCCAGCCCTTCCCGGCTAGCTTTTATAAGCCAGGATGGGCAAGGATCAAGGAGACAGGTGGTCGGTTTCACTTGTCCAAGCAGCCTGTCCACATCCTCGGAGGTAACAGATTGGAATTGATCCCATGTAACAGGACCAGACAGAACTCTAGCACTCTCCCGCCCCGGCCCTGCTCCCACGGTGGAGTCTACTTCTTCCCGAATCTGAGTGATTTTATCTGCAAAAAACTTTGCAAAAGCATTGCAGGAGATCTTGGGGTCCCTACCAGGCCCCGGTGGTACAGGTGGTTCCGATAGATTGCGAACCACCTGAAAAAGTCTCCTGCTGCTGTTTTCTGCAGATGTAATGGAGGCGGCGAAGAAGGCCCTCGTCGCCGTTGCCATTGCCACTTGGTAGGCTTGACGTTGAGCTCTAGCCCGTGTCCGGTCTGATTCAATTTCTATTTCTCTGGTATCCTGTAGATGTCACTATGTAACCTTGCTTCTCCCAATTTACAATCAGCGACGGAAATGAGAATGGGAACTTTGTACCTGGGATGCAACATTTTATTGAAGAAATGCGGCAAGATGCTATTCCCTTTCTAAACCCCTTCCTGCCCTTAGCTCTTCCTTTCTCTCCTTTCTTCTGTCTTTGAAGGCGCTAGAAGGGACAGATCCGCTTCCTCCCGCAAAGAAAGAGCTCGAACTCGGATTAGAGAAGTTCCCATCCCATCTCCAGCCCTATTGTTATTCTAAGAAATTGATGGTCATGTCACTAAAGATGATTTTCCACGGGGTCTTTGTGGGTTGGGGAAATGAATTCACTTGCAACCCTTCCACCTTCTTGCACCCCACGCCATTGCAACTCCCCTAATCTTGCAAAATGAGGGATCCATGGCATTTAGGACCCCCCACAATCCAAGGGGTGTAAGAAACCCAGACTTGCCTTGCATAGGGCTTCCTCTTCCTGCTCCTCTTCCTGCTTGTATACCTGGTTGCAACAGAATAAAGGACCATTGTATAAGTGCCTTCGCTTCGCTTCTGACTATTGAGGAGCCTGGTAAGGTCTCCCGAACCACCAACATATTTTTACAGCAATTTCAACCCTTCACATCAATTGTTGCTTTGAATATGCTTCTCTCTGTGTGTCTGTATGTACACACTTGTGCAAGGAGTAGAGTGTTTGCTTAACTGCTCAACTTCGTAAATGAAGAAGAGGAGCTTGCCCTGAAGCAAACAAACTTGTCCTGCTCTTGCTCCCAACTCCCTTTGGCGCACGATGGACCAAGAACTCCGCTTCCTCCTGGAGACAATTCTTTCCTCTTGGCCCATTGTGAATGATCAAAGGAGGACAGCAGAAAGGGAATCCTTGACTTAGGCTTCTCACAGAGGAAAGAAAAATAAAAAGTCTGTGAATTGCTCGTGTGATCAGAATTTGTTTCCATATCACCTGTCCATTACCTAGGCAAGGGAACACCTGAAACAAGCTCAGAACCAAGAGAATGAGAGCAATCTCAACATCTTGCAGGGACCCAGTTTATTCAAATAGAACAGCCTTCCTAACCAGTTGTTCAGCAGAACGGATAGTTCGAAAAGGCTGCCAGGAGGCACATTAGAAGAAAGTTTATATACACAGCACACAAAGACTCATAAAATGCCACAACACTCTTCCACTTGACTCAAGAAAGGTCTCAGATCATGGGATGCGTGGCTTAATGTGGATATTACCTTGAGGTGTCCCAGAGTGCCCAGGTCATTTGGGTCTCAAATGTCTCACTTTGACACCATGCCCATGGCAACCAGGACTCCCATGGGACTGTTGACATTTCTATCCCCTATCTTACTTCCCTGGTACCAAAACATGTCAAAGGCCTTTGAGGAGAGATGCCAGATCTCACATGGATGCTAGCTCAACACAGACCTCTTTCCCAAAACATCACCTGCCCTTCTAGGGTCTGATAAGGATGGAAGCAGTAGGAAACATACACATCACAGCTTTACAAAATGCAGGCATACAAAAATCAAGCCTAATGCATTCTATCAAAAAGGCTAAATGCAATTCATACTAGGACACTTCATACAAAATCAAAATTAATATCTTATATTCAATGAACTATCACATTTTTTACACCAAGTCCTTCCTAGGAAAGTTCAGCATGGACAGCAACCTCATCAGTGTCGCCCAATCACTGTTATCCCTCTGTCCAGCATGGTGTGAAGAAGCTATTGAAGGAATGAATAAATCTTAATTTGCGTCAGCCACCGGCCATAGCAATAAAACAACAATATGATATACAAAAAATAAAAATAAAAAGTCAGTTATATAAAATACTTCTAAGGGTATTGAGTAAATAGTCAAATGGTGGATCTTATTCTAATTGCCCCAGCTAAAAACCTTGCAACCTTTGTTGTCACCTGCTCATCTTGATCTGCCAAGAGAAAGGACACTGTGAAGAAGGTATTAAACACCTCGGCGAAGGACTTGCAAGTCACAGTTCTGGGTACGTAGTAGGAATTACTATGGGGCACCAGATGTGGCAAAGAACCCACCTGCAATCATTACCTCATATGAACTAAAGTCTCCTAAAATTAAATCTGTATACAGCCACTACTATAGATTGCCCCCAATGTGAGTTCATTGATGGGAAGCGAGACGGCCCCTGTGACTGAAGCTCCTTCCACATTCCAAGCACTGAAATCGTTTCCCCCCACTGTGAATTCTCTGATGGATTGTGAGTTTGGCCTTTGCAATGAATCTCTTTCCACATTCCAAGCAATGATAGGGTTTGCCTCCTGCATGAATTCTTTGATGGACAGTGAGCTGGCTTCTGTCAATGAAGCTCTTTCCACATTCTGAGCACTGATAGGGTTTATCCCCTGATGAATTCTGTGATGGGTTGTGAGTTGGGTGCGCCGGGTGAATTTCTTTCCACATTCCAAGCATTGATATGGCTTCTCCCCTGAATGAATTCTTTGATGGTCAGTGAGCGTGCGTCTATCAGTGAAGCTCTTTCCACATTCCACGCACTGATAGGGTTTCTCCCCTGTATGAATTCTGTGATGGACAGTGAGCTGGCGTCTGTCAATGAAGCCCTTTCCACATTCTGAGCACTGATAACGTCTCTCCCCTGTATGAATTCTGTGATGGGTTGTGAGATTAGCTCTCTGAGTGAATTTCTTTCCACATTCCAAGCACTGGTAGGGTTTCTCCCCTGTATGAATTCTGTAATGGACCGTGAGCTGGCGTCTGTCAATGAATCTCTTTCCACATTCCAAGCACTGGTAGGGTTTCTCCCCTGTATGAATTCTGTGATGGACCATGAGCTGGCGTCTGTCAATTAATCTCTTTCCACATTCTAAGCACTGATAGCGTTTCTCCCCTGTATGAATTCTCTGATGGGTTGTGAGATGGGCACTCTGAGTGAATCTTTTTCCACATTCTGAGCACTGATATGGCTTCTCCCCTGTATGAATTCTCTGATGGACACTGAGAAGGCCTCTGTGAATGAAGCTCTTTCCACATTCCAAGCACTGATGGCGTTTATTCTCTAGGGGATTTCTTTGATTTGAAGTGGAATGGGAGCTCTGGCTGAAGATCTCTCCATACTCTGAATATGGATATGACATCCCCACTGTTTGGCTTTTGTCGCGGTCTCCCTCATTCTCCTTCTCCAATTCATCATCACCTGCAACTAAGTGACAAACAGATTAGAGCCTCAGGAAGCAATGGAGCCCCAAATTATGGAGCAGTGCTAATTAAAGCTTGTGACAGGGAAAGAACTGAAGGGAGCTAGATGTGAGGTCTTCCTCCAGGGTTCACTGCCTGAGATTCAGAAAGCCTGGTTATTTTCTGGGACGGATTTTGTTTGGCCCAATCATGGGATCTGTGCCATCTCCAATGTCACTCGTCTCCAATGTCACTTGTCAGCCAAGGACAGAAAGAAGCAAGAACAGAAACAAAACATCCGACAGAAGCTACTTCAACTTCCTGAATCACTTTGAAGCCTATATTTAAGAAGGCCTGGGCAGTTTAGAGGACCCTGAAAAAATATTGGGGGGGGTCTTATCTGCCCTGAAGGATCTTCAGATGAGCATTTCCCCCCCCCCCCGCTCAGCACCTTGCACCTCTGGTGGCGTTGCCCCTATGAGGGGATGAGAGGAGCCTGAGGGGCAAGGAGAGCGGTCACCTCCTCCTCCTGTACATCTGGCCAGATGCTTCCCAGCCCTGCTGGAGCCATGGCTGCTTTCCTGAGGTCCTTCCTCTGCTTCTGCCCCCATGAAGGGGCCCTGATGGGAGGCTGTGGGGGCTGCAGACAGGCCAGCCCTTCAAGAGCAAAAGGGGGCCATCTTGGAGGGGGGTAGGCAAGATGATGATGGTTTTATTATTTATATGCCAGCCATCTGGCTGAGTTTCATGCTTTGAAAAGGCAGAACTGGAGGAAGAATATTCACAGGGAAAACCATCAATAGCCATCCCTCCAAGGTTTGCTGTGGGAGTGTTAACATCCCAGGTGCTGTGGGTGGCGCTGTTGAGCCCCATCGAAATATCAGAGGTTCGGCACATAGAGAGATATCTTGAATTACAAAACAGAAAGGATGATCCAATAGGGAGCCTTACCGAGAGAGTCCAAGATCCCACGATTCTCCTCCATGACTTCCTTATGGAGAGCTCTCTGGTCAGGATCCAGCAACGCCCACTCCTCGTCTGTGAAATGGACAGCTACATCTTCAAAGCACACTGGACCCTAAAAGAAAAAGGTTGTCCTCTTAGACAGTATCAAGGTCAAGAGTTACACTTTCATCTGTTGTCTTCTGCCTCTTTATTGATATTATGTTTTAATGGGATCCTTTCTCTGCACATTTCATTATGGCTACATTCCCGTTTGCCACATGGAAGGATCCCATTTCTTCTGTCCCTCTGTGCTGTTCTTGCCGGGTGGGGAGGACCCTCCTGATGCCCTATAGACAACTTCAAAGTGTGCAGGGGGGCAACGACAGGGGGATGAGAGGGGGAAAGCCCCATTGTGCGACTGATGGGTTCCCCCCCCCTCCAGGGCTCTCCCCATAATAATAATAATAATAATAATAATAATAATAATAATAATAATAATAATTTATTATTTATACCCCGCCCATCTGGCTGGGCCTCCCCAGCCACTCTGGGCGGCTTCCATAAAAACCAAAAATACAGTAAAATCACATGTTAAAAACTTCCCTGAACAGGGCTGCCTTAAGATGTCTTCTGAACGTTAGGTAGTTGTTTATCGCTTTGACATCTGCTGGAAGGGCGTTCCACAGGGCGGGCGCCACTACCGAGAAGGCCCTCTGCCTGGTTCCCTGTAGCTTTGCTTCTCGCAATGAGGGAACCGCCAGAAGGCCCTCGGCGCTGGACCTCAGCGTCCGGGCAGAATGATGGGGGTGGAGACGCTCCTTCAGGTATACTGGACCGAGGCCGTTTAGGGCTTTAAAGGTCAGCACCAACACTTTGAATTGTGCTCGGAAACGTACTGGGAGCCAATGCAGGTCTTTCAAGACCGGTGTTATATGGTCTCGGCGGCTGCCCCCAGTCACCAGTCTAGCTGCCGCATTCTGGATTAATTGTAGTTTCCGAGTCACCTTCAAAGGTAGCCCCACGTAGACCGCATTGCAGTAGTCCAAGCGGGAGATAACCAGAGCATGCACCACTCTGGCGAGACAGTCCGCAGGCAGATAGGGTCTCAGCCTACGTACCAGATGGAGCTGGTAAACAGCTGCCCTGGACACAGATTTGACCTGTGCCTCCATGGACAGCTGTGAGTCCAAAATGACTCCCAGGCTGCGCACCTGGTCCTTCAGGGGCACAGTTACCCCATTCAGGACCAGGGAATCCTCCACACCTGCCCGCCTCCTGTCCCCCAAAAACAGTACTTCTGTCTTGTCAGGATTCAATCTCAATCTGTTAGCCGCCATCCATCCTCCAACCGCCTCCAGGCACTCACACAGGACCTTCACCGCCTTCACTGGTTCTGATTTAAAAGAGAGGTAGAGCTGGGTATCATCTGCATACTGATGAACACCCAGCCCAAATCCCCTGATGATCTCTCCCAGCGGCTTCATGTAGATGTTGAAAAGCATGGGGGAGAGGACCGAACCCTGAGGCACCCCACAAGTGAGGGCCCAGGGGTCTGAACACTCATCCCCCACCACCACTTTCTGAACACGGCCCAGGAGGAAGGAGCGGAACCACTGTATGACAGTACCCCCAGCTCCCAGCCCCTCAAGACGGTCCAGAAGGATGTTATGGTCGATGGTATCAAACGCCGCTGAGAGATCCAGCAGAACTAGGAAACAGCTCTCACCTTTGTCCCTAGCCCGCCGGAGATCATCAACCAGTGCGACCAAGGCAGTTTCAGTCCCATGATGAGGCCTGAATCCCGACTGGAAGGGATCCAAATGGTCCGTTTCCTCCAGGCGTGCCTGGAGTTGTTCGGCAACCGTTCGCTCAATCACCTTGCCCAGGAATGGAAGATTTGAGACTGGGCGATAATTGGCCATCGTGGCCGCATCTAAAGATGGTTTTTTAAGAAGCGGTTTAATAACCGCTTCTTTCAGCGGGTCTGGGAAGGCTCCCTCACGGAGGGAAGCATTCACCACCCCACGAAGCCCATCGCCCAGTCCTTCCCAGCTAGCTTTTATAAGCCAGGATGGGCAAGGATCCAGGAGGCAGGTGGTTGGCTTCACTCGTCCAAGCAGCCTGTCCACATCCTCGGAGGTAACAGGTTGGAATTGATCCCACACAACTTGACTAGACAGGACTCTAGCACTCTCCCGCCCTGGCTCTGCTCCCACGGTGGAGTCTACTTCTTCCCAAATCTGAGCGATTTTATCTGCAAAAAACTTTGCAAAATCATTGCAGGAGATCATGTGGCCCATACTGGGCCCAGATGTCGCAGGTGGTTCCGCTAAATTGTGAACCACCTGAAAAAGTCTCCTGCTGCTGTTTTCTGCAGATGCAATAGAGGCGGCGAAGAAATTCTTCTTCGCCGTCGCTATCGCCACTTGGTAGGCTCGACGTTGAGCTCTAACCTGTGTCCGGTCAGATTCGGAATGAGTTATCCGCCACCGGTGCTCTAGCCGTCTCAACGATTGTTTCATTGCCCTCAGATCCGTGGAAAACCACGGGGCTCTCCGGGCTCCATGCAATCGGAGAGGGCGCTTCGGAGCCAAACAGTCAATAGCCCTGGTTAACTCCACATTCCAGCGGGCCACCAGGGAATCGGCTGAAAGGCCATCAACATGGGATAAAGCATCCCCTACCACTCTCTGGAAACCATTTGGATCCATTAGGTGGCGGGGGCGGACCATCCGAATTGGTCCCACCTCCCTGCAGAGGGGATGGGTCGCAGAGAAGTCCAGTTGCACCAGGAAGTGATCTGACCATGGCACTTCTTTCGTTTCGCTTTTACTTAGTGTCAGATCACCACATGTCACTAGAGGCAAACACCAGGTCCAAGGCATGTCCACGGCTATGGGTTGGGCCAGACTTATTCAGGGACAGCCCCATGGAGGCCATGCTTTCCACGAAGTCCCGAGCGGCCCCTTGTAAGGTCGTGTCGGCATGGATGTTAAAATCCCCTAGGACGACCAAGCTAGGTGTCTCCAGGAGAACATCCGCCACAACCTGAAGCAGCTCGGGCAGGGAATCCTTGGTGCAACGGGGAGGTCGGTACACCAAAAGGAATCCTGTACTGCCCCTATTGCCCAACTTCCAGAACATGCACTCAGAAAACTGGGTCTTCCCAATAGGACGCCTGGTGCAAACTAATGACTTCCTAAAAATCACTGCAACCCCCCCTCCCCGCCCACATGACCTGGGTTGCTGTGCGTAAGAGAAACCCGGTGGACAAGCAGCAGCAAGAACAGGCCCATCTGCTTCATCCAACCAAGTCTCTGTCACACATGCCAGGTCAAGTCCTCCATCCATGATCACGTCATGGATGGCAGTGGTCTTATGAATCATTGACCTGGCATTGCACAGCAACACTTTCAGGTCATGTGGGTATCCCTTGCTGATTCTAGTATCCATCCGGTCAGGACCAGACCCGGAGGCAGGAATAGTCCTCAGACAACGACTAAACCTGCCCCCTCTGTAATGACATGGTCTAGTCTTAGCGTAACTCCTCCTCCTACCCGTGATCACTGAGATCAGTTGTCCCAGTGCATCCCCCCCTGTGGAACATGCCCCAGCCATTTTGTGGGCTGGGGCCCACTCCCCGGCAGCCCTGACCCCTCCCCCTAAGAACAAAATAACACCTTAAACAAACAAACAAAATCAATAAAACAATACAAACAAAAAAATGTAAAAATTACAAAAACATCAAAATATTAATAAAAAAATAATTCCCCAAACCCAACCACACATCCATCCCACCCCCACCCCCCACATACAAAAAATCCAAAGAAATTTTTTAAAAAACATTTTAAAAATCTCCCCAGGCAATCTGAGGCTGCTCCTCCAGCTTCAATGTTGTCCAGGGTTGTAAAGACTGCGGAGAGAATAACTGGGTGCACTCTTCCCACCTTGGATCAAATCTATGCTTCCAAGTGCCATAAGAAAGCTGAAGAGATAGCGCAGGATAGTGCGCACCCCGGAAATGATCTCTTTCAGCTTCTGCCTTCTGGAAGAAGGTACAGGGTTATAAAGACTAGGACTAGCTGCCTGAGAAACAGTTTCTATCCAAATGCAATTTTGGTTTTAAACGCAATGTAAGGTAGTCTTTGTGGGAGTCTATTGTATTTAATTATGGGGTATCAGAGTTTTTAGGGGGTTAATGAGGCTGGGATAGCAGGCTTGTTGGTTTCTGAATGTCTGCTGTAGTTTTTTTTCAATTTCATTGTTCTGTATGGGACAATGTCAATAAAGATTATTGTATTTATTGCTCTCTGGGCTGTGGAGTACCAGCTGGAATCCTCTCTGCCTCTCTGTCTCCCGCATCTCACTCCCCTGCCTCCGCTTCTGCCTCTGTGTCTGGACTGCTCTCTGCCAGACTCCATCTGCTCACTAAGACTTGTTGCCTCTCCAGCTACCGACACCTCCTCCCAGTCTCCTTTTATCCCTCTAACCCAGTGTTTCCCAACCTTTTTTGGGCAAAGGCACACTTGTTTGATGAAAAAAATCTCGAGGCACACCACCATTACAGCCCCGTGACGTCAGCGCGCAGCGTCACGCCGGGAGGGACGCACGAAAGTGTAAGTTTCAATTTTTTCCCCTCCCCCTTGCCGGGGAACCTCCAAGCTTTGGGGGTGGGGGGGGGAGGAGGCAGCAAAGCGAGGGACTGAGGGACTCCTCCAACGACAAGGGTTGGGGAAGAAGAGAAAGGGCTATTCCGCTCCAGTCCTTTCTGAAGGAGCTGAGGGTGGGGGTCCTCCGGCGCCTTCGGCGAAACGGCGCTGGCCCAGAGCGCTTCTAGGAGGCTGCCTTTGTGCGCGACGTAAAGCCCTCTTTCCCTCCCTCCAGCCCCGTGTCACCTGTGGAAAAGGGGGCTGGATCCAGTGACGCAACTCGGAAAACTGTTAGGGAAGCCAGAGCAGGAAAGTGAGTGGGGGGCGGCGTCGCCGCTTTAACCCACGTTTCCTTTTTGAAAGAGAAACTTAAGACTAGATGACCCTTGGGACCCCTGCCA